TTTTTTTTTTTTTTTTTTTTTTTTTTTTTTTTTTTTTTTTTTTTTGAGACAGGATTTCTCTGTAGTTTTGAAGCCTGTCCTGGACCTAGCTCTTGTAGACCAGGCTGGTCTTGAACTCACAGAGATCCGCCTGCCTCTGCCTCCCAAGTGTTGGGATTTAAGACATACACCATCACTGCCCAGCAAATGTAATTTTTTAAAAGTTTTTTTTTTAAGTTTCTTTCTTCTTTATGCATTCATCGTGTAGCTCAGTGATAAAACTCTTGCTTGACAAATGTAGAAGGCCTGGGTTTAATCCCTAGCATTAAAAAAAAAAAAAAAGTATGGACTTCCTGGGACAAATGAGGATTTGAGTTCCAGCCTGTCCCTTCGGTGTATATGGAAGTAGAAATTTATTTCATGTCTGTGAGCTCCGGGTTCACTTTCTGTGGGGTGCCAAGTCCTAATGCTTACTTTATCAGGCTGCTGTGAAAGTTAGAGAAGATAATGGGCAAACCAGTTAAGAGTGAATGGATTCTTACTGCCAGAAGAGCTTAGGTTTGACTATGTGCTCGAGCTCTGTGTCCAGACTCGCAGCTCATGGTCTGCTAACACTTGCTCTGGTGAACTTTTGAAGCATCCTCACTTTATCTCTCATGTCATCATCAACCATTTCTGCTCAGCTCTGCTCAGTTCAGGAAATACATACTGAGTTTCTGGTTGTTGTTGTTATTTCAGACAGAGTCTGGCCCTTTGCAACTCTCTATATAACCCAGGCTGGCCTTCAGTTCACAAGAGTTTTCCTGCTTTAGCGCTGTAAGTATTGGAATCATTACTGACATTGTGCAGAGCCTGGGCCCTGGAGCCCCTAACAGGCTAGGTTAGACCACTTGTCCTCAGTAGGTCAATTAAATGGACAAGAAGCAGTAAAAGGTAGTAGAAGGTTTTATTCAATGTAACCACATTAGGTATGTTCGATGTATTTATTATTTATTTATTGAGATGGGGTCTCTCTAGTCCTGGCTCCCCTGGAAATTGCTAAGCAGACCAGGCTGGCCTTGAACTCACAGAGCTCTTCCTACCTTGGCCCCCAGTGCCGGAACTAAAGGCACGTGTCCCATACCCCGCTATGACCACATTACGAAGAGGAACAATCAAAGAGATCCATTGAACACCCAAAAGCCCATCTTCAGGGTCTAAAATGAATTTAAGTTTAAAATGATTTATTTTATTGTTATGTGCTTTGGTGTTATGCCTGCATGAGGGTTGTTGGAATTGGAGTTGAGACGGTTGTGAGCTGCCATGTGGGTAGTAGGAACTGAAACCGGGTCCTCTGGAAGAGCAGCCAGAGCTCTTAACTGCTGAGCCGTCTCTTCAGCCCTGAAGCTTAAGTTTAAATAGAAGGAAAGAAATGTTTATAACTAAGTGGTTCCGGTCAAAGTGTGGTCACGCCCATCATTGGCTCATCTTTACCCTGGCTCAAGTGTCTCCGGCAAGGTGTTTTGACAAATTGTTTGAACTGGGTGAAAGTTCTTCCTCTGGCTGACCCCAGCCTTCATTTTTTTTTTCTTCCAGTCTGAGATTCTTCTGGAAACTGTAATATCTTGGGAACCATTGTTTGAGGAGTCTAATCACTAAAGGGAGGGGCACAAGTACCTCTTTAGAACAACTTTGTTGCTGCCAGGATGGTTGTTACAGTATTACAATGAGCATCCATTGTTTGTGTGCTAGGCTCTTTAAGATGCCAGAAATCCACATCATTAGGATAGCACTGACCTAAGGGAAGTGTTGAGGAATATAAAAGCAATCACAACACAAGAAAGGAAGTGAAACTATGCAGATGTACCAGCATTAATTGAGATGCGATCGCGACCTGTGAGTAGGGATTTAGTCCCTTTGGAGAAAGGGAGCAAGAAGTACTTTAAGTTTGAAGATGATGGTGTCTGAGTTGAGTGAATGGGCCAACTATAAAAACAATGACTGACTGGAAAAACATTCTTAAATTAGTGAAGACCCAAAGAGAGGGATGGGATTGGTCAAACGCATTCTGTACACAGGGAAGCAGGTTATGGACTGGACTGTAAACTGTGGAGCCAGAAAAGGCCAGTGAAAGTATTGCATTTCTTTTAATTAGAAGGCAAGACATGCTCCAAATTAACAGACTCAGGAATGAACACAGAAGCATCACAACAGACACCAAAGAAATTCAGAACGTTATAAGGGAATACTTTGAAAACCTGTGCTCCATTAAGTCGGAAAAGCTAAGTGAAATGGGTGAGTGTCTGGGTTCATCCCAACAACCAAAGTTAAAGCAAGAAGAGAGGAACAGCTAAGCAGACCTCTGGCCTCCTATTGTCATTTTTTTTTCTTCTTTTGCAGTCCTGAGGATTGATCCTAAGGCCTCATACATGCTAAGCCAGCATTCTTTGAGCTACCCTGGCTTCTCCCACATCTTTAAAGCAAAGGCGCCCAGGTTAGCCTTGAACTCCTAGGCTCAAGTTATCCTCTTGCCTCAGATTCTCGAGCAGTTAGGTCTACGGTTGCATTTTTGTACCACACCAGTCTCCTAACTTTACTTCATGCCTTGGATTAATGGTGTAGACTGGACTGTTTGCACTGCTTGAGGTCATTTTTCAGCTCCATGTCCTCCAAGACAGCCAAGCACATGTCTCTGCTTCGTCATCATAAGTGCTTCTAGCTTTTTTTTTTTCTCTGACCAGTGTATTTGTGACACTGAGCATGGTGGTATCTGCCCATGACTCCAGCACTTAAGAGGCCAAGGTCAAAATGAATTACATATTTGTAGCCAACCTGGGCTATATAGCAAGTTTCAGGGCAGCCTGGGCTACAAAAGAAGATCCTCTCTTCAAAACCAAAATAAAATAACAACAGAAAAGAATTTATGTTGTAAGGTATATTTTTCTTGCTAACATATTTTAAATCCTCCTTTTCCTTTATAACCACACATTTATGGAATACCAACTATTTTCTGGGTATTTGTTTACATACTATATACACATGCTGCTCAGAATAGTGCCAAGTTGTAATGATCATGTTCTAGGCATATAAAGTTTATTTTTAAAAAAAATGGAGAAAAGGTTCGATGAGAAAGTATATAAGGTACAAAAGCCTGGGCTCAATTTCCAGTAGTTTTGGGGGTTGGGGAGGAGAAAGGGGTAAGGAAAGAAAGCAGATGTGATAGCTCAAGCTTGTGGTCCCAGCACAGAAAGGCTGAGGCAGGTCTTGCCAGAAGATCAAGGCCAGCCTGGGGCCAGTCTGGGGCCAGTCTGGGGCCAGCCTGAACTACAATGTGAGATCCCGTCTTTTTTTTTTTCTTTCTTTTTTTTTTTTAAAGGTAAATATTGTATTAGTTACTTTCTTTTTGCTGCTGCGGCAAAATGCCTGAGAAAACAACTTGGGAAGGAGGCCTATTTGGGTTCATGATTGCAGAGTTTTTGGTTCAAGGTCACTTGGTCCTGTTGCTTCTGGGTCTCTGGTTGGGGTGTACGTGGTGTGGCCTCTATTTACCAGAAAGCAAACTGGCTACAATGAGAGCCCCTAAGGAGAGGCCTGGGTAAGATACACCCTCAAAGTCAGTAATCCACTTCCAAACAGGCCTGTTCCACCAAGTACTCTATTTCCTAATAATACCTTCAAAATTTTAATACATCAGTGCCTCCGGCCAGAACCTTCGCTATCCACTCCCTTCTCCCAGCCTGAAGCTCATTCGTTGGCAACCAGCCTTTACCAGATGATGAACCTTAGCGGGCCTTTTAGATTCAGACCTAGTAAATACCAAAGTCTAGTTTGCATTCCCTCATCCGGGAGTTTTCTGAAGACCGGATGACCCGAAGATTTAAAGGGAGGTATTCTATGCTAAGTCATCTAATTTTATTTTTCTCTTGGTTGTTTCATAACTGTTCTCCCCTAAGTCATGGTTTTAATCATTTGCAATATGAAGAAGCATAAGCTTAATTCTAGGAGCATTGTATTCACAGGAAAGGGATAATAAATCTGCCATATCCGATGATCAAACCGGACCCAGAATATTACATTTCAACCTGCCCACCGCCAGCAGAGGCTACAGTGGTTGGAAGATTTTCGAAATATATTAGAAGGTTTAAAAAAGTAGTGTATTTGAGATCCTTTCAGACAAGAATAAGTAAAAGACTGCTATACGGTGGTCTCTCTCTGTCTGCACCTTTGTCCTATTTAGTGACACTGAGCCCATTTTGGATTCCTGAGACTCTCCAGAGCTGTCCGAGTGGGGGAAGGGGGTCATTTCCAACCAAACAAGCAGGTTCCTAGACGAAGGTTGGTAACCTGCACCAGAGATAATCTTGTTTTCAACTCACTGGTGGTCATTTTTAGGAGCCAAGATCCGCCTCCCGGTTCTCTATCAGGGTTCTTTGGCCCAAAGGACTTTGCCCTTCCTTAAATTACGGGTCATCCTGTCACTTTCTGCAGCCGGGCTGTCGGCAGGGTCACCCTTCCTATCACGGTCCCGCGACCGTGAGGCTGTCACAGGGCTGTCCTGGTGTGGTCCCCTCAGGGACGCGGCCAGTAAAGCGCGAAGCTGGGGCCGCCCGAGCCGAGCCGGGAACGGCGTTTGCCGGGGCCGAGGCGGAAGCCGGAGCCTTTGGCGGACGGGACCGCGGGAACCCGGAAACGCCTGGGCCGCACCGAGGCGGCCGTGGCGACAGAGACGGCGGGAGCCGGCGGCGCTGCGGGTCAGCGGGCGCGGCGGAGCCGGCGGGCTCGGCAGCCTGGGGCGCCCGGCGTCGCGGAGTCCGGGGCTCCGGTGCGAGCAGCTGGCCGAGCCGCACGGCGGGTGAGCGGAGGTTTCTGGCGGGGTGTGGCGGGCGCCGAGGCCGGAGGCTGCGGGCTGAGGTGGCGTGGGGGGGGGGGCGGCTGAGGTGCCCGGGCCACCTGGACCGCAGCCGAGAGCGGCTGCGCTCGTTCCGAGGGAGCAGATGAAGGGGAGCCTTGTACCTCTGCCCCGGTCGTGCTGGAACGTTCTGGGTGGAGGAGGAAAAGGTCCCAAGGAGAGGGGTGTGGCAGGCGGTGTGCCCGCAAGCTCCAGGCTGGCGGGCCAAGTGCCCAGGGGGCCAGGATGGCGGCCAGTCCTCCCGTGGCCTTCGCTGGAGCCCCCTCCGCGCCTGCGGTAGGAATGGGTCTACCCGGCGAGGACACGGTGCTCCAGAAGCTGCAGGGACTTCAGGAGATGGAAAGGGTGCCCGTGGTAAGGTTCGAGCGAGGGCGATTGGTGTGTGTGTGTGTGTGTGTGTGTGTGTGTGTGTGTGTGTGTGTGTGAGAGAGAGAGAGAGAGAGAGAGAGAGAGAGAGAGAGAGAGAGAGAGAGAGAGA